AATCTGCATTCGCCGTGGTTTCTCAGCTTCAGCCTACTGAGGTGTTCGTTGAGGAGATAGTGTTCTGTTAGAGACCCCGTCACAATCCGAAGATTGTTTTTACTTAGATGAAGGAAAATCCTTTATTGTTGTCGGTCGCAATTTCTGAGAAACTTTTTTGAGTGTCTTAGACCGTTGGAGGACTCCCATTCCAGGTTACGGATAGAATGTTCAAGGTTCTTCAGTTCCGCTTTTAGTTGGTTTCGGCTTGGGAAACAGAACGGTTCTGGTCCAGTTGTGGAGTGCTAGCTCCTTTTCCAGCTAGATTATTTGCTTTATCATTCCCTTCTATCACTTGGTGAGCAGGCACCCAGAGTAAGAGGACTTTGACCAACTTGGAATTGATGGTTACTGAGTTGATCGCGTTTAGTGCTAATAAGATGGCTATTTCCATTTATGAATCTCGATACACGTCTATGCAGAAGTATGCCTTTTTTGATGTGCAAACAATTTAAATTATTTCAACCAGTGGTGTTCACTCGGGTTTTATATTGAATACTATGAATATAACTACAGACGAATGGTTATTCATATTTTAGGGCACTTCTAAATTTTATATTCTTCTCTTTATCAGAAGAATAACGATTGAATTGTATCAAAAGAAGTATAACGACTAAAGTAGGCAATCCTTCCCCTAGGAGATGCAAGACCTTGTCGTTGGTGGGGAAGCTCCTGGTCAGGTGCTGGGGGGAATCCCCCCTAGCACTTGGCTTGGTCTAAGAAGCATCTCACTCATCGTCTTGTTCCTGACTGTAGTGTCGTGGCCAGGGAATTGCACCAAGACATATATCGATACCGGGCGGGGCTACGGACAGCCTCAACCTTGGGGCACCGGGGAGCACCCCATTGTATTTTACCCCTTACTTCTACATGCGGGGCTCTGTAGAAGTGGACCGACTGTCCCTAGCGACTCATAGGAACACTATGAGATCTGGTAATAATAGTAATAAAAACATCCCCCTAGCGACACTGAGAACAGTAACAATGAAAGTTCCAAGGGGCCAAACCCAAAGAGAACTATAGGAGAGGTGGCTGACACTTGCGTGAGACCATCCTCCGCAAGTGGCATACAAGCTATCACCTCCTCCAAGGGTCGGGAGCCTACCTCCTACCTCTAAACCCAACAGGCGACACAAGCTACCGTTTCGTCTACCCGGCCTGGGTCGTAGCTCCTCGACTGTGAGGGACACGGGTCTCCGTAGGAAGTCCTGGGACTGTATGATGAGTTATAACTCAAGAAAGGGGGACACAATAGATCTCTAAGGTCGCAGAGATTAACCCCCCTCCCACTTATTCTAATTCTAATTCTAAAGTAGGCAATCAGTTTAAAAAATCCTCAAGAATATTGGCTCTAAATATTATTTACGTCCAGATCGAATTGCCAAGTGGACCAAAACACAAACACAAGTAACAAAACGTCAAGTTGGTAAGTCTTCAAAACGTTGGTATGACAGCTAGACGTCAACGTCACAAGAAGGCAGTTGACAGAATTGACAGGACTTTGTCTTATTTCAAGAAGAAGAATAAGTTTTATCAATAACCATATTTACTACCTCTACATTTCGATATACTCAAATTTCAGAATTTAAATCTAAAAATTATGCAAAATTTCTTACATTACGTTACCTATCGCTGTCTCAAAATGGCAAAATACTTAACGCATACATGTTAAGTAAGACAAGATGGATTTGACCTAGAACTTTTCTAAAGTGATAGACACTTCATTTATATGTAACGTAAATCGACACTACTTTTTTATATTTTACGGTTATTCTCTTTATGTAGTTCTTGCAGATTGAAGATATCAAGCAGGGACAAAGAAGTATGTAATATTCTGTTGCGTGAATGATATAATGATCATTGTGTTCTAGTTCGTTTCGTTTTGCTTTGCTTGGTTGACATTGTCTTTTTCTTATTGCAATATTAAACATACTGAGGCTCTTATCATATATAAAAGTTCTAAGTTTGACAAACACACAAATCTACAAATAATTTTTAGAAAATTATTTGTAAATTTAATCATTTATAGAAATAAAAAAATATAGAGCATTCTTATAAAAAATAAACTGTATTTTTTTTGTTAAAATTGCAAAAAATAGGATCAATATTAAGAAACAGATATTTAGACAATTAAAAGCTTTATGAGGTAACCTTTTGATCTAAAACAATATGTGGCAAATATTAATAATAAAAAACCCGGAAAGCAAAATTTCATCACTAACGAGATGAAGATTCCTGACCTATCATGAACTATCGTGTTTGAATATTTTGTTTGCAAACACTTCAAACCTTTTAGACCCGAGAACATAATTACATAACAGTTTTGTATTGAATATACCTAATAAAGAAGTCACATTTATTTTTTAAACTTTTTACTCGAGCGTGAGAAAAAAAAATAGATTTTTACTGATTAGTAAATAAATGTCAGTTAATAATCAATAAGTATGTATTGTTATACAATGAGTTAACCAGAGAATTTTTACGCGTAATATGCCACCGTAATAAAAGCATAGGTTCTCCTTGCTATCGTTACTCCTCTCAAAATCCGATAGACCTTCTTTATAAACCATATTTATTTTAAATATTAAATCATATTAATCAATTCGAGATTTACCTGAGCACGTAAATGTTTCTATTAACTCTTGCAATACTAATTAGAAATATCTCCAAGTATGTTACTTTATTGATTATTTAATTGTGGTCTATCGCAACCCGCATCAATTAACACCAACATAATAACTGTGTTTCCATTTTAAAAGCTTGTAGTAATCATAAATGTCCAACGACTGACACTTTCGTGGAAAAGCAAGCGAAAGGGAAGGAGCGTTTTGTGCAATTTTCAAATAATTGTGACGAAAACACGACGTATATACTTTAGATTTGTACAAGGATTTCGCAATTTGTTGGGTTCTTTTAACGAGTTTGACTCGTCTTCGAGAATTGCAATGACATTTTAGAGTAACCTTCCGTGTTGTTTCCGTTTCATGGGATGCTGCTTACGAAGATCGTATAGGGTTATACAAAAAAAGGCTTTACTATACCGGGGGCGTCTAAAAAGTAGCTCACCCCCTATAACTTTTTTATTTTTTCAGATAAAAAAAAAACGAAATTTGGTATGTTAGTATATGACGTAAATCAAAATTGAATAACGTATTCATTTTTTTTCGGCCACTTCTTGTTACATCGGGAATGACTACAACTTTTGATTTTTAAAAAGCACCCTGGGTATTTTTTCTTACTTTATTCAATAGAAAATGACACTCCGAATAGAATGACATATCATATGCTTCATAGAGTGCCATGGAGTCTTGGAAAAATAGATTAGACAGTCTAATGTTTTTAGTGTCTTGTCCTGGCCGGTTAAAAGACGCCCAAATCGTATTTTTAATCATATCTCAATTTTTTCAAATGGAACGAGGGTGGCTCCTCAGCATATTTTGAAAAAGATTTGGTAATTATTGGGAAAATTGGGAATCGTCCGATTTTCACCAAAATTGGTATACACCCTGTTTTGAGGTCGTAGATTACGAATCTTTTTTTTCTGGCGGTCTCTTACCGTTTTCCAGAAAAACGAAAAATTATTTCAACATCGAATTTTTCTTAATTTCTCATATCTTAAATTTTTCTAGCACATATTTTGTTAAATATTCAATGAACAATGAGGTTTTTGCTATTTTCTGTTACTTTTTTAACCAATTCTATCTGCATAATAGAGGAAAATTTGCTAAAATAAATTTGTAAACAATATGAAAATGTTGGGTTATGTGTTTCTGACATTTAAAGCAACGTTGCCAATGCTAAACCTAAATTTAGCGTGTTTTTTTCACTCATTCTGGGATTACGAAAGGCGGTCGCCAGAGGAACGGCTCCTTCCCGTAACTGCTATTTTACCGACGAGATTTAACTATTTATAACCACAAAGTTGCACGAAAGACTTTTGATTGCATTGGTTACAACTTCTGCGGAGGGGGTTAATCTTTTTTTTTGTTATATTATATCAAAAAAAGATTAAATCCCTCCGCGAAGAGTTTTGATTTGATTTGATTCTATGCGGGTATGCGGGGGGGAGGTTAATCTTTTTTTTTTTGTAACATTACATCAAAAAAAGTTTAAACCCCTCCGCAAAGAAGTTGTAACCAATGCAATCAAAACTCCTTCGCGCAACTTTGTGGATATAGGCATATTAAATATAGGTATATTTAATATTTAACTATTGCCAGGGCATATAATTTATTTAAAATCCCTAATCACCCGAAAAAATAAACTTCTTAGAAAATGTTGTTGACGAAGTTGGACAAAACCTAGATTGAATGTTGGATTATTATTGTAGTTTAATTAAATATATACTTATTTTAATAAAAATATATTAAATAATAAGTATTTTATTTAAAATCCCTAATCACCAGAAAAAATACAAGACATGGCAACGTTGCAAATTTTCAGATTTCTAAGTAAGGTAAGAGACCGCCAGGAAAAAAGTTCAGATTCGTAATCTACGTCCTCAAAATAGGGTGTATACCAAATTTTGTGCAAATCGGACCATTTTTCCCAATAATTACCGAATTTCAAATCAACCATATGCGAAAATGTCAAAAGCTGACATGATAAGTTATTCTATTCAGAGAGTCATTTTCTATCGAATGAAGTAAAAATATACCTCGGTATATTTTTACCCTCGGGTCTCTTTTAAAAACCAAAAGTTGTAGTCATTTCCCGTAAAACAGGAAGTGACCAAAAACAATTGAATACGTCAATCAGTCCTAATTTATGTCATATACTAACATACTAAATCTCGTTTTTTTTTATCTGAAAAAAAGATAAAAGTTATAGGGGTGAGCCACTTTTGAGACTCACCCGATATTCTAAAGGTCTTATTAACAATATTAACATAAGTTTTTAATTTAACAAATAAAAATAATTTCGCATACTTTCTAAAATATTTGACTGATTTTGGTACTGACCTCATCGGTGATGTCACCCAGGTGCTGCACGTCTTCCGTCTCTTTAACTTCTTCTGTCTCCTCTCTAGACACAACTCTGCGTTCCTTAACTTCTCTAACAACTCCGTCCGAATTCGGTACTGCCACCCATTTGGACTTGTCTGCTTCGGGACCTTCGATTGCCGATGGACCACCATCAACCTCATCATCTCCAAGCTTTCGTAACTGAAATAACATTCAGTGTTTAAAGGTGAGCGCTTAACTGTCAGTATCACTGAAGCAGGTTGACTAATTCAATGTTACTGAATGAATATTGAGCGTGAAAACATATTTTTAATTCATAATTTCAATGAAAGTGAAAACTAGTTGTGCTTTTTTCATTCTGGTTGAACAAAACTATAAACTGAAGAGTAGATGGTGATGTTTTTATTTGTCAGTTTTCTAAGTTTTGAGGCAATATTGAAAGAATTGGCTTCCAAAATTAATTTTTCAATATAGTTTTACTAGCACCCCGTTTATTTCTATGTAATATCCATTGCCTGACACACCTTCTACGACATTTTCGTAATTTTTAATGTATCAGAAGATTTTGTGACTCAAATGTTATACTTGCCGAACCACTCTTTTTTGTTAAGACATTTTTATGTTTAGGAAATCAACGAAATGTGTCTAGACCAACTGAATGTATTCAGCTAGCAAAATAAAACCTGTGACCACCAAGTTTTCCACCTCAACCAGTAACACTGAATCAGTCACTGCTTCAGTGAGATTGACAGGTGTTATATTAAAGTTACTGCAGTTCATATTAATTTTTACAATTTAATAATGATATAAAAAAGTAATATTCAAAATTCAGCTTATTTTTTAAAGCTTGTGGAACTTGGTGCTTCTTTTTGTAGCCTTATGCAGAACAAAATTGAAGAAAAATATGATTGTTTACCTCCGTTTGATGATGTTCTTGTGTTTCTGTATCTTCCGTGGTGTTTGTGGTGACCATAGGTCCAGAGTCTTCAACGACTTTGCCATCTTCTAAAACAACTTGACGCTTAACTCTAGTTTCGATTTGCTTGGTGTTCAAAACTTCAGTTTTCTTTTTGCTTATCCATTCTTCTGTAAACGTAAAAATCAAATATTTTAAAACAAAATAATTTCTAGACACCAGTCTCACTCAAAAAGAATTAATAGTATATTATTGTGTCTCACTTTTAAAATACTGTTAAAATATAGAGGTTTTAGTCAAGTTTTACTACGTATTGCAAAAAATTACAAAATGACACCTGACAAATGTCAGAGTAATTTAAAGATACTATATAATTTTTTTTAAACGGGACACTATATTAAAAAGATGTTAGACTTTTATAAAATATTTTACACATGCCATCTTTTAAAAGCTTAACTTTTGAGGAGGTATATTTCCTGTCATCGTCAGACGCAAAAAAACACAAAAAAAAACTATTTGAAATATCTAAATATAAATAATAAAAATAATAGTGGTGTTTACAAAAAAATAACTTTTTATTTTGTAGATTTTCTTGCAGTGGTGAAAACCGTAGAACTCCTTTTTAAAGAAATGAACTTGCCGCAAAGGTTTGAACATTATTCAATATAGTTTATATGACTAACTGTGGAATGTGTCATTTTTTGTAATAGTTAGTAAAACTTTATGAACATATTTTTAAAAAATTGGACAAAATAAAATTCTATCACTGTACAGGGTGGCTCGAATTCGACGCTCATCGTTGGGATTTCGGAAACCGTAAGAGATACAGGATCGGTTAAATGGAGGCAAAGTTGCGCAATTTGATGCTCAATAAAATGCCGTATTGCATTTTTATTTTTTTATTTTATTTTTATTGCATAAAATATTCTGGTGATGGAATTTTCTGTACGAAACGTCGGCAAATATCAAAGTGACTATATATAGTGTTTTAAGAGTGATGAAAGGATTTAATTAAATTGAAAAAAAATCAGGTCCGTATTTAAGAAAATTAAGTTGATGATGGACGCCAGAAGCCGAAACGTCAGAGTCAATATTTAAACACACAGAGTTATAGAGCAGGAAAAGTGGCCATGAAAATGTGTTTTTTTCATTTTAAGTTATCTTAACAAATAAGGCCAGGAAACAATAGAAAACAAAATTGAAGATTCCGTTTTTCTCGAATATATTCGGAAGTATTCGGAATTTTTCAAAATGCAATACGGCATTTTATTGAGCATCAAATTGCGCAACTTTGCCTCTATTTAACCGATCCTGTATCTCTTACGGTTTCCGAAATCCCAATGATGAACGTCGAATTTGAGCCACCCTGTACATGTATTGTAAAATAAATTTAAAGTTGATGCATAGATATACCATTGATATTAACCAAAAAGAACATCTGCAACAAATGTGTCATTAAACCACAATCAATGCCACAAAATGATACTACATAATTAAAAAAATTACAAATTTATAATAAACTGTTAAATGTCTTAGTATGCATTCTTGTTTTTAATAAATAAAATTATATACAAGTAAAAACACAAATATACAGGGTGAGTCTTAAATAAGTGCAAATATGTTCATTCAGGGCTAGTAGATCTTGTTAAAAGAAACATATTTTCTCGTTATCGTTTTAACAGTCTAAAATAACCAAGTTGTTTATTTTAGTTTTAAAATTAAAAAAAAAATGATTTTTTGCTTAAATTTTGAGAACCACTGGATCTTTTTCTGTTTTTTTTTCTTGTAAATTTAATCTATAACCTAGGCACGTTGCCATATTAACAAGATATTACGCTTACCTTTTTTTAACTAAAAATTAAAAAAAACTCTTTAAAACAATTACCAATTTTAATTTTTTTTTTCGCAAAAAAACCTCATATACGTGTTTCTGCGGTCAAAATATACAACCCCTAAAAATTTAAGACTTACTTAATCCCACTTATTTAAGATTCACCCTTTGTAATTAGAGAAATAATTTATATAATTAAAACTTACCCTCTTTGGTTGTGGCAAACGTATCACCAGTCTCGACCTGAGAAGAACAAAAACAAGGCTTGATAAAAATTCTCGAACTGTACGTGACCTTTTTCTTTGGAAAATTTGGCAAATTCTGACCTCTCGGGTCCTTAACCAGCACTATTACAACCATTCAACATCACCTTCGGTCTTTTAGCACGTTCCGTTACAAGTCTAACACCGCAAATAATTGTCAAACACCCGAAAACAACACTTTAAAGTTAATTTTTAGTAAGCAGTTCTTGGTCAACGTAGTGATGGTTACATTATATCCTAAAGTGACACTAAATTATTACTACAAACGACAATAAAAATATTTTTGAATTCACTTACAAGTAGGGATGGGCGAAAGGGGACTTTATATATCGATAACATATCGAAATTCACCTATCGATATATTTTAGTTATCGATATAACGACAATTTTCGATTTATCCATAACTATATCGATAGTTGCCGGATTATTTTCGGTATGTCGACAATATATCTACAGGGTGAGTTTTCTAAGATTTTCTCTATAGGTATCTCGGAAACTACTGGAGATAGAGAGTCGGTTAAATGGGGAAAGAATTGCAGTTTTGTGGGGTTATAAATATGCGCCTTTCAGATTTTTAAAAAAGTTCATGGCTTACTAGATATTTCGAAAAAAAAAACTAATTTCGGCTATTTTAAAAATTGTCCATAATTCCATTATAATCTATGTTAGACAAGAAGTTTTCAGATAAAAGTTGTAGTCACATCCTTAATGAGATTGTGTTCTCCGTTTTCTTCTTAAGCCTGTCATTTTTGACATATGATACAAACATATGTTTTTTTTTAAATGGAAACCATATATGTAGTTGGCTATGACTTCAAAAAAAGAGCCGTTTTTTAAGCTTTTCAGCGATAAAAAAAAACATTATAGCTTATAATGTTTTTTTTTTCAAAAAATTAGAGTTATAGCCAATTCTTTTCTTTCTTGACCAATTTCACTTAGTTTGGTATGATATTCTTATTCTGTTATGATTTATAACTTATAAAAAGACAGAATATTTTATTAAACAATTTACATGACACAAACTAAAACTTAAGAAAAATAATATCACTACATACACTTTAAGTTATTTTAGAAAATGTTCAAAAAATCCGCCGTTGTTTTGAGTACATAAATGCATCTTTTTTTAAAACTGAATTACTAGGTTTTCTCACAGAATGACCGGTCGACATAATTAAACTTCTCTCGTACCGCCTCTTCGAGTGCCTCTCTTAATTCATAAGTTCTTTTGTAAACCTTATTGTTAACAATACCGCACAAAAAAATCTAAAATGAATAGGTCAGGTGATCGAGGAGGCCCATGCCATTGGTCCATCTCTACCTATCCCTGAGTTTACATAATTATGTATTTGCATAATTTTCCAACTTTTCTAACATGTCTTGAAAACCGTTCTTTAATAAGCCTAAAAAAGTGAAAACATATGTTTGTGTCATATGTCAAAAATGACAGGATTTAGAAAAAAAGGAAAAAACAGTCTCATTAAGGATGTGATTATCTACAACTTTTATTTTCTTTTAATTAATTTAATCTGTTTTTTGTCTAAAACAGATTATATTGGAATTATAGACGGATATCGTTAAATACATGTGACAATTTTTAAAATAGCCGAAATTTGTTATTTTCGAAATATCTAGGAAGCCACGAACTTTTTCAAAGAACTGAAAAGTGCATATTTATGACCCCACAAAACTACAATTCTTTACCCATTTAACCGACTCTCTATGTCCAGTAGTTTCCGAGATACCCATAGAAAACTCATCGTAGAAAACTCACCCTGTATATGTAACAGTGTATCGATATATCGATAATTTTAAAGTTACTTACCTACTGTTATTCGATATATCGATAATTATTCATAGTTATCGATCTTTTGGAAAAAAATCCCATCCTTACTTACAAGGCGTAATTTTTTAAATGTAACCGTATGAGTGACAAAAGCGACAGTAGCCTGACAATGACGAAATAAATATCTAATTTTCGATGCAGGATACGTCTATGGTTTCTTTAAAACTTCAGCCGGAAAATGGCCAGCTTAATATGGTCCAAAGCTCCATAAAAAGGAAGGTTAAGTGTTATTATAGAGGTGTTGACGGTATCGCCATTGTGACTTACGTTATTACTTGGTTTGTGACTTGGTAGTGTCTATTTTTATTTTGTTTTAGGTACTGCCTGATTTCTATCTATCCCATTTATAGTGTAAGTACTTTAAATAGCGAAAGTCAAAGTTATTTATATGTTAATTTGATTTATATTTAGAATTATGTTAATTAGCGTAAGGCTTAAGTACTGAAAATATGGCTTAAGGAATATTTATTGTTCTTGATATAATGGTGAAGGAGCCTCATAAAATTATCTAACGATTTATTAAAATATTAATTTAATCCTGAAAAAAACAAGAGAAAGTGGGTTTCAAAAGATAGTTCATTTTTAAGACTTGACAAAAGTTCAAATAGATTTACAGAGTAATAATTTATTTAAAAATATAGTTAAAGAAAATTTCTGCAACCTTTAATTATAACAAAACAATACAATATTCAATGAAAAATACAAATTTACACAATTTAGCTTCTCTTTCAAAAATGATTTTCTTTGAGAATTTATATACCTATTTATTATTAGTTTATATTTTATATTATTATTATTTTTTATACAGGGTGAATCTTAAATAAGTGCAAATATTTTTAGAGGTAGCATATTTCGACCCCAGAAACACGATTATGATTTTTTGTTTGCAAACATTTTTTTGAAAAAAATTTCGGAAATTTTTTTAGATTTTAAAAAACATAATTTATTGATAATATGGCAACATATAGGTAGTACATTAAATTTACAAGAAAGAAAATCCAGAAAAGATCTAGTGGTTCTGTTAAAATGTTAACAATTTTTTTTTTTCTAAATTTTCAAAGTAAAATAACTAATTTTTATTTTGGAGCTATTTAAGAAACGGCAAAGAGAAATTGTTTCTTTTATCGAGATCTATCAGCTCTGAAAATATTTGCACTTATTTAAGTCTCACCCTTGAAGTTGTTTTGGGTGAAGTTTTTAAAATATGTAAATCAAGATGCTATACGGGGTGTTGGAAAGACCCAGAGTCACATAGGACGAAAATAAACCAATTCATTGCAGGTCTCTGGAACCCATTAAAAAAAATAAAAAAAGAATTTGTGGCTACAATAAACTATCAAAATACTTGATAACAAAGGTAAACAATAAATTCAAGTTATTTCATTAGTGTTCAATGCTAGCGATAGCCAATAATGCAAATAAAATTCTGTCATTTTTTCGAATTCATGCCTGTCGAAATCCTAATATATTTTCTATCTGGACAAACTCCATAATATTTTTATAAAAAGAAATTCCCTCCAAGTTATGCAAAAATTTTTAAAAATAAAACATGACTCGAGTTATTTTCATAATTAAATGCATATTTTCATTATTGTATGGAGAGAAAAAAATGCAAAACAACAGCAAGACATACTCGGAGACATATTGTTAAATACACGTGTCGTATAAAGTACTTGTAAAAATGACAATAGTTATATATCACCGCTTTATCTATTGGTTTTGTCGAATGTCATGATCTAATAGTCACTATTGTTTCACTACATACCAGCCTTTATTGTTAGATAAACAAAAAGAAAATTAAATAAGAGGTGTAATAAATAATTATTGTATTAGATAATTTATTTCGAATTAATATTCTTTTCATATAGTTCAATATATTAATACACATCGCTGTAACGAAACTAGGAATATTACCATTCCTTATACAGGGTTGTTCACCACATACGACACGGAGTATTGTAGCTAAACGATTAGATTTTTACAAGTTGTAAGTTTTGGGTTCGTTGAAGGATTATTAGAGCTACAATTTAAAAATATTTTTACAAGATACAGAGTGTCCCAACTAAGTAAAAAATATTATAGTTGTATTTTTTTAAATGGAACACCCTGTATATTATTCTATTTTTGGATTCTACGATTGAAATAAAAGTAAATTTGATTAAGGTTTATCACACTTAAACCTTACCGTTTTTGAAATATTTTCAATTTTAAGAAATTGCAGTAAAAATTTTAATGCTTTATTTCTCCAAGGGTATTTAAGTTTTTAATACTAAATATTTACTGAAGATTATTTATTGATCCGATATTGTGTTGCAATAATAAAAATTTTACTACCTTATACAGAGTGTCCAAAAATTTATATTAAATAATTACTAGCTTTAAACGGCAATAACGTGTTTAAGTTAAATGGAACACCCTGTATATTTTACGTGAATCATATGCACAATTTAATTGTCTATCAAATTTTATTATACCATTTTTTACCTATCTCTGCAACTTTTCGTAGAAAATGCATTTTCTTATAATTTAGACCTCATTTATCACTATACCCATGGAATATTGACATTTTAGATTATTTTTAAAGATGTAACAAATTTTCCAAGAGTACAGATACTAATATTGTCCATATAGCTCGCTTATTTCATAAAAAAAAAATTAAAAAAAACTGTTTAAATATTTTTGTTAAAAATAACCAATTAATATGATCCCAGTATTCAGACTACATTAATTGCCTGTTTATGTTGATTAATAATAATTGCTCCAAATAATAAAAAAATGAATTTTGTGTGTGTATTAGACAGTGTGATAAAAAGTAACGCCTTATAAATTTTATTTCATTTTTTGACGAATGCTGATTTATAAAAACAGAGACGTTTATTTTCATAATTTATTATTATATTGATTTCTGAGCCAAATCCACGTTTATTTAGAATACTTTATTAATTAAAACAATTTAAAAGTATGTAATTAACTACTTTTTGGTCGTAAATAATGGTGGTATATTTAATTCGTATACTCTTTTTTAAAGATTTAAATAGTTTTTTTGGTATACCAATAGGCTTGCAATATTTACCACCTGTACATTTTGTGCATATATGTTGCTTAAAAAAAATCTGAAATGTCAATATTCCGTGGTGGGTATAGTGATAAATGAGGTCTAAATTATAAGAAAATGCATTTTCTACGAAAAGTTGCAGAGATAGGTAAAAAATGGTATAATAAAATCTGATAGACAATTAAATTGTGCATATGATTCACGTAAAATATACAGGGTGTTCCATTTAACTTAAACACGTTATTGCCGTTTATAGCTATTAATTATTTAATATAAATT